AGGTATCACTGACTCTCATATCTATAGAACCAAGGTATCACTGACCTTCATATCTATAGAACAAAGGTATCACTGTCCCTCATATCTATAGAACCAAGGTATCACTGACCCTAATATCTATAGAACAAAGGTATCACTGACCCTCATATTTATAGAACAAAGGTATCACTAACCCTCATATCTATAGAAAAAAGGTATCACTGACCCTCATATCTATAGAACAAAGGTATCACTAACCCTTATATCTATAGAACAAAGGTATCACTGACCCTCATATCTATATCACCAAGGTATCACTGACCCTTATATCTATAGAACAAAGGTATCATTGACCCTCATATCTATAGAACCAAGGTATCACTAAACCCCTTATCTATAGAACCAAGGCATCACTAAACCCCTTATCTATAGAACCAAGGTATCACTAAACCCCTTATCTATAGAACCAAGGCATCACTAAACCCCTTATCTATAGAACCAAGGCATCACTAAACCCCTTATCTATAGAACCAAGGTATCACTAAACCCCTTATCTATAGAACCAAGGCATCACTAAACCCCTTATCTATAGAACCAAGGTATCACTAAACCCCTTATCTATAGAACCAAGGCATCACTAAACCCCTTATCTATAGAACCAAGGTATCACTAACCCTTATATCTATAGAACAAAGGTATCACTCACATACATTAACATAGGACCAAAATACCATTTACTGGGTTTCTACATTAAAATAGAATCAAACTATCACTGACTCTCATATCTATAGAACCAGAGTATCACTGACCTATATTAAATAGAACCAAGGTATCACTGACCCTTATATCTATAGAACCAAGGTATCACTAACCCTTATATCTATAGAACAAAGGTATCACTGACCCTCATATCTATACAACAAGAGTATCACTGACCTATATTAAATAGAACCAAGGTATCACTGACCCTTATATCTATAGAACAAAGGTATCACTGACCCTCATATCTATAGAACCAGAGTATCACTGACCTATATTAAACTAGGACCAAAATACCATTTACTGGGTACCTACATTAAAATAGAATCAAACTATCACTGACCCTCATATCTATAGAACCAGAGTATCACTAACATACATTAACATAGGACCAAAATACCATTTACTGGGTACCTACATTAAAATAGAGTCAAACTATCACTGACCCTCATATCTATAGAACCAGAGTATCACT